AAAAATAAAACAAAACATTCATTCATTTTCTTTTCGGCTTAGTCCCTTTATTAATCTGGGGTCGCCACAACGCAATGAACCACCAACTTATCCAGCATATGTTTTACGCAGCGGATTACCTCCCAGCTGTAAACCATCTCTGGAAAACATCCACACACGCTCATTCACACGCATACACTACAGACAATTTAGCCAACCCAATTCACCTGTACCAGAGGAAACCAGAGGAAAGGGAAACCAGAGCACCCGGAGGAAACCCACATGAACACAGGGAGAACATGCAAACTCCACAATGAAACACCAACTGACCCAGCCGAGGCTCGAACCAGCAACCCTTTTCTGTGAGGTGAACGTGCTAACCACTGCGCCACTGTGCAGCCGCATTAATGCTTTAACTATGAAATATTAAAAATAAAATGCTTGATAATGCAAAATATGTTTGTCATGTAAGCAATAGTTACTTGTGTGTGTGTGTTTGTGTGTGTGTGTAAATCATGGAAAAATGTAGGATACTTTTTTTTTGGCTACAATTGTGATCAATTTTGTGGCAATTTGATTATCAATTGATATTTTTCTCCATGTGCACTCTGTGACCGAGCAAACACACTGAGAGACGCTGATAAAGTCATGTTCAGGATTGAGGTCATGGGTCAGAAATCAGGTTTTGTGATGATATTGGCTAATAAATCACTGCGTAACTGTGCCATAAACTCAGTCAGTGTGTGAAGAAACAGGCCAACGAGTTTCTGATGAATGTATGACTATATTTCAATATATTTATTTCTTCTTACACTGACCAATTAAATAAATATATAATGCAGAACAATTAAAAAACAAAAACAATAATGGGGCGAAAAGGTAGCACAGTGGGTAGCACTGTCGCCTCAGAGCAAGAAGGTTGCTGGTTCGAGTCCCGGCTGGGTCAGAGTGCATTTCTGTGTGGAGTTTGCATGTTCTCCCCGTGTTGGCGTGGGTTTTCTCAGGGTGCTCCAGTTTCCCCCACAGTCCAAACACATTCGCTGCAGGTGAAAAGAATGAACTAAATTGGCCGTAGTGAATGAGTGTGTATAAGTTTGTGATTCAATTAAATTCAGCTTTATTTGTATAGCGCTTTTACAATGTAGATAGTGTCAAAGCAGCTTCAGAAGGAAAATAATATAATTATAATCGATGAATAATTGTATTTGTAATCTTGACTAATTTTTTGTTTGCTGAATTAATAAAAAAACAAATAAAACAATTACCAGTATTAATTACAAATTATAATATATATTTTGCCTTGCATACAAACATATATATATATATATATATATATATATATTTCGGAGGATAGTAAAGAGTTGTGATTGAATTTGTGATTAATTACTCAATATAATTTTATATCGTTAATTTATTAAGGACTTTTATCTCCTTTCTATTCTTTGGTAAATATGACATTATATTGACTGAATCCTTGCTGAATAATTATTTTTAAAAATAAATAAAATAATATAAAAACGGATATCATTGGGAAAAAAACAATATTTATATTTTATATATAATTTATAAATGGATATGTTTTAATTCACGTTTTTCTCCATTATATTTATAAATGAATGAAAATTTCAAAGAAAACAACATTTATTGGAAGACATTTCATTGAGGATGTAATATTGATTAATAGTGTTACTACTGAATATATATATATATATATATATATATATATATATATATATATATATATATATATATATATATATATATATATATGAGAAGTTGCATTAATTAATTATAAGAATTATTTAGTCTTTTTGTGTAGGCTTGTAGGGTACATGCAGAAGGACTTTTCAGTTAAATTAATCCCGTTCAAGTGTTTCCGGTGAACTGTTGTATCATTATAAAATCGACTCGTTTAAGATGTTTTGTTTAAAAATCTATGAATTGCACTGCCTAGTTGATATACGATATAAAGTGGGTCTCGGACGGTACAAGAAGCACTGCATTAAAATAACAGTTATACCGTTCAGCATCATGTTTTTAAAATATGCTAATTTAATTTACCACAGTATTTTCAGGGCTGGCCTGCTGCTTTAAGGGTCTCTCATGTTGTTTTAACAACTAATTGAATGCTTAAGTCTGTTTAACTGACTATACTTTAATTAAATGACATTATCGCTGTTAAACCGCATATGACATTGACAAATATTCATGTTAACCTTTCACCGGAAGTTTCTATCTCTCTCTGCTCACCTGTTGCTGCGTTGCGTAACATTAGAGTCTGCTTTTCTACCGCTCCTCTTCAGCCTGTTTGTTTTACTGACTCATTAACTCTTATCTTTCGCAATTGCAGGTGAAAGAATTCCTGGAGGTGTTTTTTTTTATCGGCGCGCCTCCGCGTTTGACGTCACTCGCGCATTCTCGTGATCAGGGCTTCCCTCTGTGAACGCGCGTTACCAGGCAACGGGATTCCGCGATTAAACAAAACACGGGGGTTCCGTGCGGCGCTGCCCGTGATCCGCTCCGGTTTCACAACACGGTCAGATTACACAGTCAGTAAAACCGGTCGAATTATTACCCCAGGCTTTATCCGCTGACTTTCACACACTGTGGCCTATTTTCATCTCATGCTCACCGGAAATGCAGTTAAGCAATGCTGATTGTAAGGTAAGTTCTAGAAGGGTTCCAGCAACGGCCGGAAGTTAACGATTATTTTTAATATGTATTAAATTGTTCATCAGTTCCAACCTTAAACCCAACCATCCCAGTAATGTGGAAACAGTAACTATACTGAGTATTATTCATTATTTATTCAATTATAATTCTATTAACGTAATTCCGTCTTTAAACGCAACCATCACACATTACTCAATGTGAAATCAGTAATTATACCGAGTATTATTCATTATTTATTCAATTATCCATTAATTGTACTTTATTAACGTCTACCCCAACCCTAAACTATGTTTTACACTTTTATACCCATACTGCAATTTCCACATTAATATAGAGCGTACATACACTCACTGGCCACTTTATTAGGTACACCGTTCTACTTGCCTTCAGAACTGCCTTAATCCTTCATGAGATCATTCTGAGATTGGCTCTATATTGACATGATAGCATCACGCAGTTGCTGCAGATTTGTTGGCTGCACATCCATGATGTGAATCTCCCGTTCCACCACATTCCAAAGGTGCTCTATTGGATTGAGCGCTGGTGACTGTGGAGGCCATTTGAGTACAGTGAACTCATTGTCATGTTCAAGAAACCAGTCTGAGATGATTCATGCTTTATGACCTGGTGCCAGCAGAAGATGGAGACACTATGGTCCATAAAGGGATGGACATGGTCAGCAACAATACTCAGGTAGGCTGTGGCGTTGACACAATGCTCAACTGGTACTAATGGGCCCATAATGTCCCAAGAAAACATCCCCCACCAGCCTGAACTGTTGATACAAGGCAGGACAGATTCATGCTTTCATGGTGTTGGCACCAAATTCTGACCCGATTACCCGAATGTGGCAGCAGAAAATGAGACTCATCAGACCAGGCAACGTTTCTCCAATCTTCTATTGTCCAGTTTTGGTGCGCCTGTGTGAATTGTAGCCTCAGTTTCCTGTTCTCCGCTGACAGGAGCGGCACCCGGTGTGGTCTTCTGCTGCAGTTGGACGTGCTGTATTTGTCCTGGATTGGGCTGAGGTTTTAATCATACATCTCCGACAGAAAGTTTAGTTTTTTTGTCAAAATTGGTAACTTTTCCTCATCTTCGGCACCGTTAACGTGTGGTCTTCCCCAAGCCTCGATTTTAGCACCTTCTCTTTTCTCTCTCTATATGCTCCTATTAGGTTATATTTTCAGGAAATATAGCCTGCGGTTTTATCTTTATGCAGACGATAAACAAATCTGTCTGTCACTCAAAAAGGAAAACGAGTCATCTGTTGTGAACTCCTTGTCACTGTGACTGGAGGAGGTAATAGCATGGCTTTCTGAGTCAGTTATTATTCAAAATCCCAAAGGCCCACATCAAAAGTAAGGGACGAACATGCATTTGCCATAGCAGGTCCTCGCCTCTTGAACACGCTGCTGTTAGAACTTAAAAAAAGGCTGTGGTAGTATCTTAATCAGGCAAAATTGTTCTGCTTTTTTATGTTACATCTTTTATGCTCTCGCATTATGTGCCTATTGCTGTTGTTTGTTATGACCATACTTTTTGTTTATTCTTTCTCTGTAAAGCACTCCGTGCGGCCTTGTGGTAGTTGGAAACGTGCCATATAAATAAACTAAACTTGAACTTGTGCATTCAGAGATGCTCTTCTGCAGACCTCAATTGTAACGAGTGCTTCTTTGAGTTACTGTTGTCTTTCTATCAGCTGGAACCAGTCTGGCCATTCTCCTCTGACACCAACAAGACATGTGCACCCACAGAACTGCCGCTCACTGGATATTTCCTCTTGTTCAGACCATTCTCTGTAAACCCTAGAGATGGTTATGCGGGAAAATCCCAATAGATCAGCAGTTTGCAGCAGCGTCTGACACTAACAACAACGCCACGTTCAAAGTCACTTAAAATCCCCTTTCTTCCCCATTCTGATGCTCGCTTTGAACTGCAGCAGATCATCCTGACCATGTCTGAATGCACTGAGTTGCAGCCATGTGATTGGCTGATTAGAAATGTGCGTTAACGAGCAGTTGGACAGGTGTACCTAATAAAGTGGCCGCAGATACTATATACTATATATAAACACAGTGTATAACCAGAATTAAGATTCCAGAAAAAAATAAGTACAGTTGAAGTCTTTAAGTTAATATTCCAAACACAAATTATCACCAAATACACTTAAAAACATTTTTTTTTAGAAATAACGTGATATAATTTGTGTTATAATTCAAAACTGATCATTAAAGATTTGCTTTTGAAAATAATAGGCTTGTCCTGAAGATGCAAAAATGTACCCACATTTCTCGAATCGCCCACACACACACACTGCATATTTAAAACCAAGAGCAATTAGACGAGGTGTTTTCTCAATATGTACTTTATGATGCTCGATGTGTACAGAGTCAATGATTTCAGTGAGATTACAGTAATATTTCTACAGGAATACAATTGTCAAATTTCAGCACATTCAGTACCGCAGTAAACATGGTAAACTGCTCATTTCATCCATTTTCAAGGCAAAATTAAAGACAAATCAACGTTACAGAAAAAACTAATTATATTTAATTTGCTATTTTCACAATGGCACCATGGTCGATTTCAGATTTGTGTCAAATAGTCTTCGAGTGTAATTCTGCATGTCAGCAGAGAAGTAAACACAAGTTTGCCTATTGTAACAGATAATACTGAAACACGTGAACACTACAGGCAGAATAAACAAGAAAATAAAACTAAAAAATATAGAAATACCATCAAAAATACTGAATGTGAACAATATCTGGACATCCCTGACAGAAAACACTACATTAAATGCATCTTCTATCAAGTGTAAAGCGGTTCAGTTTGGACTAAGATGATATTCGTTTGACCTTTAAGGGATTTGACAATAAAAGTAAACACAAGTGCAACAGACAACAGGCTGTGTGTGACCTTAAAGGGACAGTGCGCCAAAAAATGTATCTCCTTACCATTTACTCAAAGTCAAGTGGTTCAAATTTCTAACTTTATTTCCTTCTTCTGCTGAATACAAAAGATATTTTGAAAAATGTTGGGGAGGGAAAATAAAGCGCTAAAAAAATACTATGATAGTCAATGGTTGCTTTTCCCCCCAGCATTCTTCAGTATATCTTCCTTTGTGTTTAAAAGGAAGAAACTCAAATATGTTTGGAGCTTGAGCAGAATACAGAATAAGATATTTTGAAGAATGTTGGGGGGGAAATAAAGAGCTAAAAATACTCATTAGTTAATAGCTAATTGTTCCAGCATTCTTCAGTTTATCTATCTATTTTTTTTAATTTAACAGAAGAAAGAAACTCAATATGTTTCTAACGCAAGTAGAATAAAGAATAAGATATTTTGAAGAATGTTGGGGAACTAAAAAAAGGTAAAAATACTAAGGAAGTCAGTGGCTGATATTTACAGCATTCTTCAGTATATCTTCCTTTGTGTTCGACAGAAGGAAGAAACTCAAACATATTTGGAGCTTGAGAATAATACAAAATGAGATATTTTGAAGAATGTTGGGGAGGAAATGAAGAGCTAAAAATACTATGGTAGTCAATGACTGCTTTTTCCAGCCTTCTTCAGCATATCTGTCTTTGTGTTCAACAGAAGGAAGATTCTCCAACATGCATTGGGTAGAATACAAAGTAAGATATTTTGAAGAATGTTGGGGAACAAGAAGAGCCGAAAATACTAAGGAAGTCAATGGCTGATATTTACAGCATTCTTCAGTATATCTTCCTTTGTGTTCAACAGAAGGAAGAAACTCAAACATATTTGGAGCTTGAGAATAATACTAAATGAGATGTTTTTAAAAAAGTTGGGGAGAAAATGAAGAGCTAAAAATACTATGGTAGTCAATGACTGCTTTTTTCACCCTTTTTCAGTATATCTATCTTCCTTTGTGTTCAACAGAAGGAAGATTCTCCAACATGCATGGGTAGAATACAAAATAAGATATTTTGAAGAATGTTTAATCCTTTAGTTTAACTTCCTTTGTGTTCACCAGAGGAAAGTAACTCAAACAGGTTTGGAGGCTGAGTAAATGATGAAGGAATTTCCATTTTTTGTGTAAACTGCCCCTTTAAGACCGTTCAGTCGATAAATAATCACAAACTGTAGAAAAAATAACCTGAAGCGTTTACAGTAAGAACACATCTGAAATGTGACACACTCCTTTGAGATGTGATGCAGAATCATCGCTGCGCTATTAATGACACATTAATGAGAGAAATGATTCCTGTTTACTGTCTCACACACAAACATCTGCAGTATGTCGATCACAGTCCTGAAATCACTTCCGGATATATGAGGAAAGCAGAATCTGCTATAAAGTCACTACTAAATTTGAGGGGAATGTGGGAACCTTGTTTATGCCATGGAGAAAAAAAAGTAATTGCGAGTTTGAAAATTTTTTTCTCTCATGTTTTATCTTACAATTTCAAGTCTGTATCTTTCAATCCTGCCCGCAAGTCTGCAAAAACAAAACTACACTTAAAATTGTCAGATTTAATATCAAGAGCCTCTGAATTGCAACATATAATAAGGATATTGCCATTTTAATTTCTAAAAAGGGTTTGAATTGTGTGATAGAAGCAGTGGAAATTGTAAGGGAAAAAATCTGATCAGAATTTGCAAGAAATGGTTCATTTTAAAAGAGAAAAATGTCAGAATTGAGATACAGAATTAGATTTTTCCTCACAATTCTGACAGATCTAAAAAAATGTATATATATATATATATCAGTTTTGCAAAATATAAACATTATATATGAATAATATAATGTTTAAATAATATAATATTTGAAATGTAAATATTGGTTTTTAGAATTTAGTTTGTATCTTGAAATTCAGACATTTTAACTTTATTTTATAATAATTACATATTTTATATGCGTGTATGTCTTTATATATATATATATATATATATATATATATATATATATATATATATATATATATATATATATATATATATATATATATATATATATATAGTGCTATATACTAAAGGATTAAACATTCTTCATACACACACACACACACATATAATATTTATATATATATGCCTTTACCCGAGTAAAACAGGTTTAGTCACAAAGGTTTTTAATAATTTAAATAATTTATTTTATTATTGTTATTTATTTTTATTTTTTTCATCTCATTACATTTTATCCAACTGTTATTAATACTATTTATTTTTAATTTTGTGTGTGTATGTGTGTTTGAGTTTTTGGTTCACTGCTGCCTGACAATGTTCAGTTGTTACCTGCTTTCAAGTTTGCATTGTGTAAAGCACTAAACAAATAACTTGTCTAGACTATCAGAATTGTAACTCAGAATTAAGTGAAAGTCTATAAACTTGAAATTGCAAAATAGTAACACAAAAGAAAAAAGTCTAAATAACAAGATATTGTTTCTGAAATTTCAAAATTTGGAATAAATTGTGGAGCAAAACTTTCAAATTTAGGAGAAATCCTGTTCGTTCTATTCTCATTATGGACAAAAACAGTGGCATTTTTGAGAAACAAATCTGAATATATCCTGGCTACAACAGGAATGATTAATTATCATGGAAAGAACAATTAAACAATGATTCAACAATTAAACGAGTCATCTGATTCACATGTTGTTAGTGACTAGTGATTCATCATCCACTTGTGTCCTCTAACGTTCAGGATCTTCGTAATCAGGACCAAATCTAGTCAACGCTGTACTAAAGATTCAATTTCAATCCATGAATGCGAGCTGTAGCCAAAGCATGACCTGTATTCGAGTATTCTGCTGCAGATGAGTGTGACGTGACCCATGATGCCTCTCACTGAGTCCGCAGCTGATAGTCTGCAAAGAAAGAAGGAAATGAGGCTTTTAATTAAAACGCACAGAAGCACAGGAAACAGGAACAAATGAAAAGACGTTAATTGTGACAGCTGAAACTTTCTCTCTCTCCACCCATCAAAACACAATCAGAAAGCCAATCCGTCAAAGACACTCAAGTTCACAATGATGACAGACGCTGGATGCGGATTGGTCGATGGACATGTAACCGTAGTTTAAATGATTGTAAGAAATCATTTCACAATATGTGCTCTCTCCACATTTGGCACATACATTTCAGGTTTTACAACAGTGAGTTAAATAGCATCTCTGATTTCACCTTCAGCACTGAAAACTGCTTTTTAAAATAGTTTTCAATTCCACAAGAACCAGTTCATTTGCTTGGGTCTTGCTTTAAGAGTTTTTAACCTGTTTAAATACCTAAAGTGAAAAGGAAGCAGTTTAGAAAACAGGAAAACACACAGCAATTAATACAAAACTCTTTAACATTTTTTTTATTTTGACATTTATTAGCTAAAACTAATAAAAATACTAATTATATATTTATACACACACACATATGCACTCAACGGCCACTTTATTAGGTACACCTGTCTAACTGCTCATTAATACAAATTTCTAATCAGCCAATCACATGGCAGCAAGTCAATGCATTTAGGCATGTAGGCATGGTCAAGACGACCTGCTGCAGTTCAAACAGAGCATCAGAATGGGGCAAGGGGATTCAGGTGACATGGTTTTTGAAGCCAGACAGGCTGGTCCGAGTATTTCAGAAACTGCTGATCTACTGGCATTTTCACGCACATCTCTAGGGTTTACAGAGAATGGTCTGAACAAGAGAAAATATCCTGTGAGCGGCAGTTCTGCGGGCACAAATGCCTTGTTGATGCCAGAGGGGAATGGCCAGACTGGTTCCAGTTGATGGAAAGAATAGAAAAATAAAACCGAAAGCGTGCACATCATTTACATAACCATATCGCATTATAGACTAATGATTACAAAAAGTATTTGATATGTTTTTTCTTTCATAGCGAACACAAAGTGTTGTGCATGAGAATAAGGGCGTACTCAAACTATGCTATCCGAACCGTGCCCAGGCCCGTTTCATGGATTGTTTGAGAAGTGTGAGTGCGCTGAATCAGGCTTAGGCACGGTTCACTTGGGCTTTGGCGCGGTACGCTTGTGTGAGTGCAAAACGCGCCTAAGCCCGAAACTGAAAGCGAGAAGTGACTTTTAAGGGGCCGTTTAATATGGATTATTTAATCATTCTTACTGTTCAGTAGGGGATGTAACGGTATCAGAATTTCACGGTACGGTAATACCTCGGTATGAATGGCACGGTACGGTATTTATTGAATCATTTACAGGAAAAACAAAACTTTTGAAAATACTCCAAAAAAGTGCCAAAAGTGTCAATGACATACAAATTAGCCATCTATCTGTAAGCTTTGAAACAGGAACTTCAATTTTAATAACAAAAAATTATTAAACCATGTAAAAAAATAAAGTTTCAATTTAGTATTGTTGAAAACTCATCACATTCAACATTTAATCACTCACTCACTTAGATAGATAGAGATGGGTTTAAAGGAATATATATATTATATAACTATAATCTGGTAAAAGCTGGTATCTCTGGGTATTTACAATGTCCCCTGCAACAGAAAAAACCCTCTCATTTGGGACTGAGGATTCTGGGACAGAGATATGACTTGGCCCATGTTGACAGCAGTGGGTGACGTTGTGCATTGTCTTTCCCCCACTTGACAGGACAAACCATGAGTGAGTTAGAGGTCTCTTTGCGGTACAAGTCAATGTCTGCATCAATCTGAACAGTGTGCTGTGTTTCTGCAGTCCCCATGACTGCTATTACTCGTATTCCCCAACTTGCAGGCACGTGCACACATAGGGCTCAACCTGTGCAGTGCACATGCCCTTTTTAGTCTTGGATAGAAAGTGCCCTTCCAAAACGATCAAAAGTGCCCCCGCGACGCGACGCGACACAACCTCCGTCCAGCCCTTCAGTAGACAACACCGCTCTTGAGTATGCGCGCTCAACCCCCCCTCGGCGCTTTACAATACGCGCGCGACTACACAGCTGATCAGAACGCGCGACAACACCGCTATTCAGTACGCGCGCAGCGACAACACCCGCTTTAGGTTCGATCATTTCCATCTTTTTTTCATCTCCGCTACTAGCAGCACACTCCATTTCCGCATTACTGGATCTGTAGCGACAACAGACCGCAAAGGATTATGGCCACGCCTGGGCTGATGGGAAATGTAGTTTAAGCTACCTCCCGTTCGCTTCATTCGCCTGAGCAAATTTTCTCAGAAGACCTATAGTTTTACCGAGTCATGCGACTTCGGTAATATCGAAAAAAATTAATATTGCGGTATGACGGTATTTACAATACCGTTACATCCCTACTGTTCAGTGAACGCAAACTGCAGTAGTTTATTAAAGACGCAAACCCCTCACTGCACAACAGCTACACCTTCAGCAAACCTCCTCATTCCAGCAGTGCGAGGACTTTATGACTGTTTATGAGCGTCAAAAGTGGCGTATCTGTTCGCCAAAATATTTGAAAGCGCGTTACTGTATATTAAACGACTTGAACGTAAACAATGTTGTCAATGATAGATTGTAAGCAAATGTCTCAAACACAGCAATTCAACATCAGAATTGTGAATAGTTGTATTCTGATATCATTACTTTATATTAATGATCAGGACAAATTTAAAGTCTGTTAAATTCCACCATTCCAAGTCGATTAAATATTTAGCATTTTAGACCTACACAAAGCCTATTGCCGTTTGACCATGTTTGAGAAATAACAATAATAGCCAACTCATATTGACCTTTATTTTACATCGATAGAATCGTGTGAAATCGTTATTTTAAGCACACACAAAAAAATAATAATAATAACTCGCAATACTTATTTTATCCAGAATCGTGAAGCTCTACACTTTGGGCCCATTATTACACAATCTACATTGTAAAAGCGCTATACAAATAAAGCTGAATTGAATTGAATAGTACCAATTAGATTTTAGCATTTAGCATCATATCAACGTCACAGCCTACCCGAGTATTGTTGCTGACCATGTCCATCCCTTTATGACCACAGTGTACTCATCTTCTAATGGCTACTTCCAGCAGGATAACGCACCATGTCATAAAGCGTAAATCATCTCAGACTGATTTCTTGAACATGACAATGAGTTCACTGTACTCAAATGGCCTCCACAGTCACAAGTTCTCAATCCAATAGAGCACCTTTGGTATGTGGTGGAACGGGAGATTGGCATCATGGATGTGCAGCCGACAAATCTGCAGCAACTGCGTGATGCTATCATGTCAATATAAAGCAAATCTCAAGGGAATATTTCCAGTACTTTAGTGAATCTATGCCATAAAGGCCTAGGTGATGTGTAGCTAATAAAGTGGCTAGTAAGTATTTATATATAGATGTTATTTATTTATATATGCATTGGTTGTGTGTACATATAACATTATCATTATTTTTACTAATAACATTACTCAAACATGTAGAGCTCAGTTGCAACAAGACACAGATTGTCTCACACACACACACATACACACACACACACACACACACACACACACACACACTGTACCAGCATTTCTAATTTTATCAGGCTTTCACCATCTCCGCACGCGTCTGTCCTGAACATCCGCTTTTCACAGAAGAATTTCAGCTCCGCATTCAGCCCTGATCTCCTATCATTCAGCACAGCATTGCTTAACTGTTGCCAAATACCTGCAATGCTGTGAAAAACACTGAGAAATGGAGAAGAGAGGATGAGAGAGAGTGTTTACCTCCGTTCTGGGTGATGTACCGAACCCATGGCAGGGCCTGATATCCACTCTTCTCAATGATCTTCAAGTAACGCACCTGTGAAAAAACAATAACAACAACAACAACAACACTGTTAGAGCATTCAACACAGCCACATCTCCCTGCAACACAACCAATGCAAGACAACAAATCAGCTCTGGTAAAGTCTCTGAATGCCACTTTTAAGCTGTTTTTCCAATGCAATGCCATATTTACAGTGTAAAGCTGATTACGGATGACTAAAAATAAAACACAAAGCAAAACAAACATAGTTTAGTATTGAATAAGATGTAACAACAAATACTGAATATGAAATAAAGGTCACATTTTATTTTGATGGTCTGTTTGTTGAATTTAAGTTACATTGCATCTACATGCCAACCAATTCTCATTAGATTATAAGTAGACTGTTAGGTTGGGGTTTGAGTAAGTGTAAGTTGGCATGAACTTGCAAAGTTTCTTATGGTCAGGAAAATGTCTGTTGAAGGAGCATATCAGCAGATAATCAGCAGAAAGTTGACTAATATTCAAATGGACCATCAAAACAAAGTGTTACCCAAATAAATCCAAACAAGATTGTCTGAATATCAAAGGCCAAAAATAAAACACTAAAATAATTAAATCACTTTACAGAATCAAAATATAATGAGAAATTTAAATACCATGTTTACATACCAAAAAGCAAGTAAACATTTACATTAATTACTAAGGGTGTCACGATCCTCCAAATCCTCGATTCGATTACATTTTCGATTCTGAAGGCACGATTCGATTTGATTTTTGATTATGAATAATTAATTAATTAATGACCAATTAATTATTTGTAGCCTACCGTTTAAACTACCTGACCTGCATGGTCTTTGTTTTACCCATAAACAAATCATACAGTAAATGAATAAAGGCAAGATACACACATAATTACCACCTGTCGATCACTTTTTCTGCGGGACTCGTGAATAGGCAGTGATCTGTGTCATTATAATGGCGTCGGTAAAAAAGACGCACAGCCAGCCAACAGTATCTGAGGTGTTCGCTAAAATGACTAACTACAAGAGAGTGAAAGATTGAAGCAGTCCTCTGACTGCCTGGACCTGCTGTCTCGAGCGCATGGCTGTGTGTGCGTCTGTGTCTGTGTGGTCACGTGATGTGCATTTTCAGAGGTAGAGATGAGGGCTGCTCAGAAATGCTACACGCCACTGTGGATGTCAAATCGTTGTTGTTCTAAAATAGCATTTAAAAACAAAGACAGTGTAAACAGGGCCTGAGTGTGTACTTTTCGCGAGCGGATTTGCAACGGGGGCGGGCGGAGGATCGCGATGCCGGTGTTGTCTATCGGACGAACAGTCATAATACGTACATAGCAGAGCTTGCAAAACTGTGTTTTTTTGTCGACAACACGAACGTTGTCAACATAACTCACTGGAAATTCAAAATGCTTCCACACCGGCGACTTCATTGAAAGAGGAGAGGATTTAAGTTCTGTCGACGGGTCTCCTGCTTCTGCAGTTTAACAAGCACTTCAACAAGCCTGTTTTTTTCCTGCTTGGCAAGCCAAGCTGACGTGACATGGGGGCGTGGCAGCATCGACGATTCTATTTTTTGATTTGATCATCGAAATTGAGCATAAATTTTGATCCATTTCGATTAAAAATCAAAATCGTGACACTCCTATTAATTACACTGGACATCAATAATAAAAACTGTAAAACGCAGAAGTTAATATACAAATCTTTATATTAACTTCTATTAGTGTCTAATAATGACTTTGTTAATACAATTTATTGACCGTACATAATATTTCACGAGTTATTTTGCAATTAATAAGCTTTGTACTTCATCCAGACCCGTGTCAAAGTGGTTAAAATCACACAGATATGAAGATGTTTTGTTGATTATGATCAGTGCTGGGCAAGTTACTTTAAAAAAAGCAATAGACTACAAATTACTGACTACTACTGAAAAATTGTAATCTGATTAATTACTTCATGTAAAAAGTAATCAGAATACTAAGTACTTTACTTTAAAATTACTTTATTTGAAACATAAAATATACCTAAAAATACAAAATAAACTGCAGCTCTTTCAGTAACTTAATATTCACTGAAAAACATCACAATACGTTAATCACAGCAGTTTAAAGTGATAGTTTGCCCAAAACTTAAAATTCTCTCATCATTCTCTTGTTCCAAACCTGTAACACAAAACGAGACATGAAGAAAACTGGATCCCTCATGGTTTCTGCTACATTCATTCTACCATGGCGGGGCGCCACGCCAAAATTCATCCCGCCACGGCTACATCACACCTTCTCATTCAAAACATTTTTTTTTTAATAGTGGGTAATAATTGCACCAAAACGTATTAAAGGGTAAGTGAATTATAACCGCAAACTTTTCTGTAACCGTAGTAGTGCTGTGCGTCATTTGTTTAACCTTTTAAGGTTACGTGCTGACTGACTGACAGGTGCGTGATGCTTGAGGCCAGCAAACACGACGTATAGCCATTCAACTTAACTTCAGGACGCATTAATATTGCTCTGTAGGTCTATTAGAGACATTAACAAATATTCATAGCAAATATAATAAATGCTGGAGACATACTTGTTACATAAACGCACTAAATTGCACTTGAGCAGCGTTTATTTGAGAGCGCACAACATCTGCACACTATTGAAGCAGCTTATATTTGAGGGGGCGCGCAAGAAGTTTTGTGCACGATTAGAGGAAACGGCGCGGAAGCAAAGAGTTTCGCATGCTGTAGGCTATTACATAAATGCGATCTTGACTTCTAATACTGCGCTGACGACATTTGTCATTAAAATAACGCCACATGACAGGTAGTTGGTAGATCTGTGTAAAAAAAAAAAAGTAAAATAAAAAATAAAAATAAAAAACCTGCCGCCACAGCTGAAAAAAATCCTAGAGGAAACACTGTCCCTGTAATCATTGACATCCATAGTATGAAAAAGCACTGCAGTGTTTGGGTGTTCTGTGTTTGCCTGAGGTAATTAGTCTACCCAAATGTGTACATTCTTTACAATGTATGAAGCTGATCGGTCAGTTCTTGTCACGTGACTCAAGGTTTTCAACTCGTGCCCCTGGAAATTGCGAGCTCGCGCAATATACACCCATTGGAAATAACGAACTTGCATGCGCAAACGACGCAACACGTAAACGGCCCCAAAATCAGCTACGCTTCTCTTCACATTCAGAAGATACCTTCAGAGACGTTCCTGCATAAAAATCCAATTTAGCCTGTTTAAGCTGAGCTGGGCTGCTGTGTTTTTGGGCGTCGGTGTCCTCTTGGTTATGAGTTTTGTCAAAGAAGGCTTTCTGTTCAAGTGCTTGAGCAAGTCGCTGATAGAGTTAAAAGCGGTGGAAAGTCCTTTAGATTGGACATAAACTGACTTTCACAGCAATATTTTTGTTTTTACACTCAATAAAATCAGAATAATGTCTTTTTTTCCACTTGAACTAGCAAACACTCTTGTCAGAATCAATTTCAGCTCGCGTTCACCTGCAATTCAAAAACGAATGCTTAACTGATGTCGCAGCAGAAAACGTGATTTTAAAGCATTTTTTCTTCTTCAAAAAACTATATTTGTAACGTAGGTAATGCAATTACATTGACTTTAGTAACTCTTATCAAATTACACAAATTTAAAATGTAATTCATTACAATACTGCATTCCCCAGAAATGTAATTAGAATACAGTAATGCGTTACTGAGGAACGCGTTACACCCAACTCTGAGGCTGTTTCTCAATATGTGTTCTTGTCTGTACTTGCGTTTTTGTGTCCTCGTGAAACGTCATCAGTCGTCACCAAAATACTGTACCAATTCAAAGTTCACCTCTTGCCAATGAGAGATTAAATTCTCGGATGTGTACTTGCTCTGCCCCTTTGGCCAAGGATGCATCGAGAGGTGACTTGTGTGAACTTGCGAAGCTCAGGTATCCCAGAATGCATTGCAGCTAAACCAGCAAAAGCTAATGGTGGAAGAGAAAACCAACAAAATTTTTAAAAATACTCCACAAAATAAAGTTTTAAGAGTTTTTCAGGTGAGAGTGTAGTTGTTTTAAACTCGAATCAGCAGTTTATTCACAAAGATAGCGCGTCTTTGATAGCCCCTTAGCTTATGCGGACTCTGACTCCCAGCCTGCCAGCGGGAGCTTCGTCATCACCTCCCCCGCCGAGAGCAGCTTTACTTCAGCCAGTCTATCTGGGATGTACCGCTGGATCTCATCTCTCCATTGTAGTTTAAACATGATATTTAATTCATCCTGTGAGTATCTAAAGGACAGTCTGTGGTCTTTTAAATTTATGATTTGCTCTCAGGTGTATTATTTTGGCAGTGTTATTTTGTTACCTTTTATAATTGTCTTTATGTTACCGTGTTTTAGGCTGTTTGTCTTTGTTTACCAAATTATATGACGTAGTCTTTATTTCCTATGGTGTATGTCTTTATTTCTTATTGTGTATATACTTTTATAATAACCATTGCAGTTTATTAAATCTGATAACCAAAGACACGTGTCTGAGTATAATAACACATTTTACTTCACATTTATATGGATTTATGTGTACATTTTCTTACATCAAAAATTTAGATTTGTAATATTAATTACAGGGTCATGCTTCATATAATTAAACCATTTTATTGTTAAAGGGCCATGAAACCCCCTCGTTTCAGCAGGGTGTTTTCACACCTCTACTTTGGAAAAAGTCAGGAAAGTGGGCGTGTCCAGCTCTGTTTAGGGGGGAGTGTCGGAGGAAGAAAAGAGGCTTGGTGTGGGAGTGTCTATTTGGGCGCGCTGAATTTCAGAGTCAAAACACACAACCACAGCGGACAATGTGACTGTGTTTACTTGGACATCTGTAGTCGAATTATTTGCCAAATTATTAAATGGTGGACTTTAACTGCAGTTTGGCTCTTTCATTCAGGGAATTCATTCATGTCCCTCCCGACAAACGTGATATTTGATTCGAGGAGCTGCTCTAAGCGTGTATTTTTCATGCAATGTTTGATACCGCACGGCGAATAAGAGAAAAAAAAAC